GTAACCCCTCGCCAATATTGCCATACATTAAACATGAAGTATTCAGAAATGACCATCACTGAACGCAGGCTTGCGCTCAAGTGTTGCCATGACAACACGATATTCTTAAATTTTTATTTTCATATATTTTGTACAAAACTGCAAAATAGTTGACAGATTCGTACTTTTAACTATACAACAATAAATTTCCGAAATACATACTGTAGGTATATTATTTTGCATTTTGTGGGCTTTGATTTAATGTAAAATTTAACTTGAAATGCTTCGTAAAATGTTTTGAAATGTTCATTCAAGTAAACCTACATTTTGCCGATAAACTGTTTTTACTTAACAAAACATGATAAGTTTAATACAAATAAAATAAAATTGTTAGGTAATTTCAGTTCAGTTTTCAAATCAATTTGTTCGCCTTTACATTTTAAGATTTTTTCTCAAATTAAACGGTAATTTATAAAACTTAGAGCTTCTATAGTTCATGTTTTTTATTTAATACGTAAAAAGTTAAAGCAATAAAATTCGTAAACATTTTAAAAATATTCAAAGCAAACTTGCCGTATATTTCACGATTTCCCGTAGTAAACCAATTCTTCTCATTTCTTCAAACAAAATTGCTTCAAGCTTGTTGTATATGAAACGTTTTTGCAAATATATGTCTTTTAAAATTGAAATCTTGCTCGCCATATTTTTGAGATAAGTGAGGATGACCACCCACTCAAGATCGTCGTTCGTTGGTAAGCGCCCGCGATGAATGATGAACTTTAGACTTCGCTAATGCTTTCGTTTCCGCGGGTGTAAATAGCCGGGGGGAATTAGTACCCTCGCACGGCGCTTCGCGCCGCCATCTCGGGGATTAATAAAAAGACGTTCATTTTGTGAGGTTTTCTAACGATACAACGCGGGTTATTTTCGTATGTTAATTTTTTAGTGTTTTGGCATCTTGTCATTAACACGCATCGTCGTGCGTTAAGATAATTGATGGACGAAGCATCAATGGACGTGTCAGAAAATATTGATCAGATTGAAGTAGGTCGGGTTTCTGATTTGAGACAACGACATGAAAGAAAAATAAACGAGGCTGCTGGTACGTCGAGACATGTAGAGGTATGAAATAGCTGAATTGAAATTGTGCTTATAATTAATATTATAATTGTATCGGAGTTGATTGGCCAATTTTTTTTAGCGTCTGATTGGAAAAAAAGTTAATTTTGTAGAGTTCATTTATTTTGAAATGGAAATTACCTTACATCACATCACATCGCATCAAACCTTTGTAATTGCTTGCAATAATTTGCAATTGATTGTAAAAATGAATCAGTTTTAGCTTTTCTAATTAGATTACTTTTAGTGTTTTGGTTGATAATTTTGGTTGATGTTTTTGGACTATTCTTGACGTGGTAGGGTTTCTCCAAAGTCCTTTCGACCCAGTCTTTCGCGTCGAGATCTCGACTTATGTCTGTACAGTATGTCCATTTTTCCAGAGGAAATAATTAAGCTTCAGGAACATTGTTGGAATGAGGGAGCAAATTGGAAACCAATCAATTCTTGTCAAGATTTAAGCTTTTTCATATGGATGCAAACGATCTACAATATTTAGAAGAATTATAGGCCGTGGGATTAAAGTAGAAAATATGCTTAGAAAACAGATTCCATAGCACCCCTCGTGTAATTACATAATTTGTACGTGAATCGACAGATTAGAATTTACTTAGTTAGAATCTACTTCCCCCCGTCCCCTCCCCCTCGCGAAATAATTGCACAAATTGAAGTACAACCTCTCCAAAGTTCGGGCTTCCTCGTCTTTCGAAATCCATGAACGGCAATTGTTATGTTGCAACTACACAAGCGCTTGATCACAAAATACCTAATGTGCACGCGCAGATAAGAAAACCTGATCTCAATCAAGGACAGGACGACGTTAGACAAGAAAAAAGAATGGAATGTGCAAAAGTAGGGATAAAGTAAAACACATCGTGGTGTTTTAAAAATATATTTTTATGTTCTGTGCATTTAATGGAGTTCAACTATTCTGAGCAATCAACCAGGTCGAGCCCTCGCTCGCAACATTTCCAACATGACAATAAAGCAAATTTATAGACTATATAAATTTAAGTTAATGAGACAAGGTGCAATGGTAAGATGAGGAGGAAGGCCTGGTTTATATCAATCGAATCTCTGACAGGTAGGCCAAAGATCTTGACATATAGGTCAAAGATCATCTTCTGCTAGCAGCACGTATTCACGTGAACAGACCGTGAAACTTACTGTGAACCAATTGAAAACCTCGTACGACTGTGTTCTGTGCTTTGACCAATCATAGGGTATAACACAGCCCATTCTAATTGGCGCATTACATGCACGAGTTCATGCAAAATAATGCAATTTACTCTGAGCTGTCCACAGAGTAATATTATCGAATAATGTTTCTTTTTTATTCGTGGCATTGTGTATGCAGTATATATTTTACAATGCCCCCAATACGAAACCACGAGTATAGTCTAAGTCACCTTCGCAAAAAATGTGCAGAGAAGGGCCTTTCGACTACAGGCCGAAAGGCAACTTTGGTATCTCGGATACAACAATACGCTTCGTCTCGACCTTCTACTACGTCTCAGCCGTCGGATACCGCAACGCCAAGTGCCTCAACGTCGGAAACGTCCACGCCAGTGCCTACAGGAGAAAGAGTACATACCCCAAGCCTGGTAAACGACGCGCAAATGACACAAGTTCGATCTATTGTATCGCGCAGCGTCGAAGAATTAATAACGGAGATTGCCAGCCAAGCGGCCCATGCTGCTGAGAATGCATTGCAATGTTCAGCAACCTCGCCAAACGAAAGTTCGCCAGCGACTTTAGAGGACCGAATAGCAGGTCATCACGCCATTTCATCAACGCGAAGTCCTGACCCAGTACCTGCCACCGTGCCGACCGTGGTTATTCCAGATTTTCCTCCTCATGTGCCCGAGAATGAATCCTTTGTTCCAACTCAGAAGCCATATTACGGCCACCTCGCGTTGGATTTGCCCGCTGCCTATGTCAAGCAGACACAAACGGGTGAATTTTTTGATTTAGAAAAATTATTACCTCGTGAATTCCCTTCCACTACGGATGACGACTCTGTGGTCTTAACCTTGGAAAACTCCATTATAACAGCTAAGAAGGCTAATCAGCAAACTCAAAAAATAACGAATATCGAACAATGGACTACAGCATTCACTGTGTACATGGGCATATTAACATCAAAGTTCCCCTCGCAAATCCAAGAGTTGCTTCAGTATATGTCCCTCATCCGCTATGCCTCCCAAACCCATCGGGGCTTTGGCTGGTGTATTTACGATCATAAGTTCCGACGAAAGGCTGCCCTCAATGCAAGTCTAAATTGGTCACAAATTAACCACCAGCTTTGGTTATGTCTTTTTACAATACTACCTGACATTTTAAGACGGGAATACCCCCCCATTTCTTAAATGGACTCCAGCAAAATACTACCTTCTCAGGGGCCGCTAGAAGAGGAAATACCTGCCATGAATATAATAAAAGAGGTGAGTGTAAAAACACCAGTTGTCCCTACCGTCACGAATTCAACAGATGCTCAGGTACCCACCCAGGCTTCAGCTGCAATCAACGTCGACCTGAGCATGACAGGAGCAGCGACAAGTCAAAGGTCGTCAAAGACGTCTACGCATGCCCATTGATTATTATAATCAACTACCGACACCTATTTTAGTTGATAAGTTAGAAAGTGCCCTTACCAGACACCCCGATTCTAATTTTGTATTTCAAGTTTGCAATAATTTAAGGTTTGGTGCACGAATTGCTTTTGAGGGGCAACGTGCCCCAAAATTTTCTAGAAATTTACCCACGGCACTGGCTAACTCTAGTGTGGTCACAAATAACTCAGCACATGAGATTTCGCGTGATCGGGTGGTTGGTCCCTATGATAACCCACCATTTCCAAATTTTCGGATTACACCAAATAACTTGGTTCCAAAAAAGAACTCCGACAAACTAATTTCGGACAATTTTTCATCCCTCTTTTCCTAAGACAGGTAAGACCAGTATAAATAACGCGATTTCCAAGGAAGATTTCAGTTTGCAATATGTCACCATTGATCATGCCATTAAAGGTATAAAGCGTTTTGGTCAGAGCTGGATATATTTTGGCAGGGGAAATATTATTATGACAAGGTCTTACCCTTTGGCCTTCGAAGCGCCCAATTTATTTTCAATCAACTTTCTGATGCAATAGAATGGATTTTGATTAACGAATGTCACATTTCTTTTGTATGCCACATTTTAGGTGATTTCTTAGTCATTGATTCTAAGTCGGAACTTTTCTCTCCCGAGAGTCCCTGTCAGCAAAGTCTTGCTGCAATGCTGCTTACTTTTAATAACGTGAACATCCCAATTGCCCCGAATAAAACTCAAGGCCCCCTACAGGTACTTGACTTTATGGGTATAACATTAGACACCCTGAGAATGGAAGCATGTCTTCCTACTGATAAAATTGAGCCATTGAAGGAACTTTTTGGACAATTTGAAAACAGACGTTCTTGTACTTTAAAACAATTACAATCCCTAATTGGTACATTGAACTTTGCATGCAAGGTTGTCCCACCAGGTAGGCCCTTCTTACAGCGCATGATTGATTTAACCTGAAATGTTAAGAAGCTCCACCATCACATAAAACTGAATACCGGGTTCTTTAAAGATCTGGAGATGTGCAACAATTTGTAATAAATTGGAATGGAGCTAACTTTTTCTTTTCATCCACCTGGCAAGATTAAGATTGCCTGCAACTCCATACAGATACAGATGCATCAGGAGCACTAGGGTATGGGGGTATGTTTGAGTCTAGATGGTTCCAGGGCACATGGCAACCCCACCAACAACTAGGAACACCAGGGATTAGCATTGCTTGGCAAGAACTTTTTGCCATTATAGTTGCATGACAGATATGGGGGAGCTCTTCCAGGAAGAACGTATTATCTTTAACTGTGACAATGAAGCAGTAGTCAGTATGATTAACACAAAACGTTCACGTGCGCCAAAGGCCATGGATCTGATTCGCCGTCTGACCCTGCGAACAATGCAATATAATTTTTACATTCGGCTCAACACATACCCGGAAACGAAATCAAATTGCAGACTCTCTCTTTCATTTTCAGCACCAACGGTTCACACAATTGGCACCTCATGCATATTTCAACCCATGCTGCATCCCAACTGTTCTGCTAACAATTTGAAAAAAGACATTGAATATATATATATATATATATATATATATATATATATATATATATATATATATATATATATATATATATATATATATAAATTTCGCAGTGGCACCTTCTACCAAACAAATATACAGCTCAGGTGAAAAACGCTTTGTTGAATTCATCCTTTTAGTTAAACGCACCCAAGTCGAACAGTGTCTCCCGGCAACAGAATCTATGCTGCCTGAGTTTGTTGTGTACTTGGCTAGAACTATAAAACATTCCTCAAAAAAAAATTACCTAGCAACTGAGACATTATCATATTCGCCAGGGTTTTAAGTTAAACTTTCAAAAAATGACACGCCTGCAACTGATCTTACGCGGTATAAAGAGAGATCAAGGTGGCCAAATTCGAATACGCTTAACAATAACTATTCATCATCTGCAGTTGTTCCACCTGTTACTATCCATTCCATCTACCTAAAATTATGACTCATTAATGTTCTGGGCTGCAATGACTTTGGCATTCTTTGGTTTCCCCCGTCAGGGAGAACTAACATGTAATTCTAAATTTAACCCCGATACCCACCTGACACCAGACAATATATCATTTAATTTTATTCAGGAGATGCAAAAACCCAAATCGATGACAATCTTGATCAAAGATCCTAAAACTGACCACTTTCGGCTGGGTCAAATAATTACAATTGGGGCTACTAGCTTACCATTATGTCCAGTCGTAGCTATGAAGCGGTATCTTACAAGTCGCAAATCACTCAATGACCCCCTTTTCGTTCATGCTTCAGGAAAGCCATTGACGAAGCAAGCACTGATAACTGAGACACGATCTCTTCTCACTAAGTCTGGCTTAAATGCTGCTCATTTTGGGCCTTCCGACGTCGAGAAGGCTGGACGCAATGATATTCAAAACTGAATCATGTCGCCATGTATATCTCCCTTCGTTTAGATATGACTTACATCCGGAGATTACGTGCAAAAGCGATTCAGGGCAGAAGCAGAACGAACGGTCAGCAGATGATGACAGACCCCATTTAACTAGGTTTTTCCTAGTAGGCAAAGAATTGTTGATGTAACGTAGACCGAAGTTAAATATGTTCTTAGGAAGTTTTGAATGAACCGATGACCATAGGGAATTGAATGCCAACGTGGAGTTTTTCACGATGTTTGAGAAAAAAGAACCTTGTGACATTAGGTTATTTTGTAGTCGCTGTTCATTTTTTTGTCTAAATGTCTTCAATACATCTTTTGTGTTTGAGTAAATGTCGTACTGAATGTTCCTATTGGTGCTTGTTATTGACCATAATTCACGTATGTTTTCATTTATCGATGACTTTAAAGCTGAGCGTGAGACAGTTTGGCACTGTATAAATTTCGTTGAAGGTAGAATGACATTTAACCAAATTTGTTGTAAGGGAGATAGACATTGCTTAGAGTTGCAGATATTGGCAGTTCGAGCCATTTTCGTATATATTTAGTAGTAATACCGTCCAAAGTCTCGCAAACCCAATTAACCCATGTTTGAGATATATCAGTTATTGTGAAGAATCATGAGATTTTCGAGAGCAAGTAGCGACTGTATAGCAGGATTTTATTTCGGGGGTGCAAATGTAATTCATCTATTTTAGATATAATATTATTAAACAAGTCACATATATCCGATTGGTGTTTTTCATCTGACTTGTTGAAATTGAAATAACGACCAAGGTAGCGGAAAGATTCACCAGTTTCGGTACGGGGTACAAGTAGGTGGTTAATAAACAATTTAGGTTGATATTGAACAGATTTAGATGAGTGTTTTTTAATACCGAACGTAGAGCACTTGTCAACAAATATAATCATATTGGCCCATTGACACCATACCGAGAAGTGATTGAGTAGGATTTGATTTTCTTTTTCTTGGCTAATATAATGACAGCGGCGTCGTCTGCAAACTGGAACCAATGAATTGAATTACACGGAATACCAGTTTTATTAAATTTCCAAAAACCAAGCTGCAGGAATGATTCAGATTTAATGTGTTGTACGAAGGTATTAAAGGACATATTGAAAAGGAATGGACTAAGGCAGTCACCTTGTAAAACGTCACGGCCGACGGTAATGAAAGGGGTACTGAATTTTTCAGTTATAATAGATGTTTTGGAAGTTAGTATAAAGACTCCGGATTAGTTCATTTATAGGATCGGGTCAACCTAAATGTCACCAACTGTTTTTATCATATTTATATAGCCAATCAGAAAGGGTTACAGTACAATCGATCTCCGAATTAATAAAGCCGATATTAACACACATGACCATGAAGAAGATTGTCGGACTTCTACTGCATCTGAAGTAAGTGGATTAGATTTAAATCTGGTGGTGTGTCGAACAAATTGTTTCATCAGTCCACTCATATACCAAATAATATAGGAGTACATCCGATTAATGTTATTGTGGGCGTATAGATTAGCCTACAATTTTGTTTCTTGTAGGTTAGAATATAAGGATCGATATCACCGCACATCTTTAATACAATTCTGCTCTACTCGCATCACCGAAAACACAATCATCCTTTTCACTCTCCATCAATAATTTTTAGCATTTTGTTTACTGCCAATGGGCCAATTGCGGAATTGCTAAGCATCATGGTAGTTTAGTTACACAGCAGAATTTTTCAACATGGCGCTTATACTTCTCGAACGAGGAAAGGTGCTAAACACATGAGAATTGCAAGAAAACTTTTATCATTTTCGCTTTGATTAAAGTTTTGACTAAATCTGTACGACTTGTTTCATATTTCTACTGGGTCTTGGACTTCTACGAGCGAGTGTGGTTGAAATATTTAACATGGCGTACAAAGTCACTGAAGCGGGGAAGGAGTTCGATTCGTAGTAGTGAGGAACAAATTTTTGAATATTCCACAACATGAAGGTGAGTACTGCATTGAATTATTTTCGAAAGAAGGAACACTTAGTAACCTATTATTTGCCTAAAAATTTTAACGATTGGTTTAATTCTAGCGACTCGAGAGACAAAAATGTTTGCACACTTGACCGTCCCAAAGATGTTTGATCAAACGTTCGTTTTACAACCACAAAACATAGAGGTTGTTTGGCGAGAAAAATCAAAACAGTTATTGTTCGAAATACCGAGCTTTCACATTTCAAAGGTTTTCAAAGATTTAAAAAGTACTTTCAAGTACTATTCTCTGCTGTTCAAGTGTCTCATTGGAGTTTTTAACTACAACATATTTACGGGAGTCAAATTTAAAGTGTTGTTTCGAGTATATTTTGGAAAGTTTCGAGCCGTTTGGTTTGCTGTTTGTAAATATGGAGTAAGGAATACAGTGGATAAGAAACCTCAGTGATATTTTAATACCCATGCATGCATTATTGACGGAACAATTGACAACTGACTACTCAAGTAAACTTGGACCATGCGAATGCTCACAAGCATAATATAAAGATATTGCTATCAAACTGTTCAAAGAGATAAAATGGTTACCCAGGTTGTAGTTAAGGCTAATGTTCTGAAAGGCACAGGAAAATTTTTACTGTTTAAAAGTGTTGTGCATGCTTCCATGAAAAAGCCACACTATGACTATGGAATCTATGTTCACCTACTGTATGTCTTGGACACTGGTTAAATATATTGTGCAAGTTGCACTTGTACAGGTGGTTCCGTTGTTGTAAACATGTAGCTGCACTGCTATTTCAAATTTTGAACTCAATATCCGACTTCAATTATTAAACTGAAGTCCCAGATGATTTAACTTTTACACAGTCTCACTTTCACTGAACTTACTAATGCTAAACTTCATACTGCAATGCATTTCGACCAAATAAAAATAAGCAAGGCAACTTTCAAGACAGAAAAAATAAATTGCACAGCCAGCTACAACAACCCAGCACCTGTTTTGCTAAACATGGAAATGTTGAAGACTTAAAGAAAACTTGAAGACTGGTTTGAAAATTGTTGGCACTTGTGATTATTTGCAGGGCCTTTTAGTATCCAATAATTCTGAACCTTTCCAATATCAAGAATTTTGTTGAAGAATTTCCTTCAAAAAATGCATTCAATAATGCAAACCTATTTGCACATCAAATGTACAATACAAAATTCGAAAATCTATACTGGAACAAATTACTGTTCCTAGCAGCAGTGTGCAAACATTTGCCTTTGCAGCAGTGGGCAAACAAACACTTGCCTTCTCTGGTGTATATAGACCAGATACTCGAAACACTCTTTACACCCAAAGAACAAATGGTTGACATTGAATGCAATACAAGAGGTCAGTCACAGAGCAGACTTTGGTTTCATGTACAACAAGGTCGTCTACTGTAACTACCTCACATTTCGGTACGGCAATGAAACGAAGAGAAATGTTTTCCTCACATCACTTCTTTGCAAAATCCTTTTGCCAGCAAGTAATGTAAAGCATGTCAAGTAGGGCAACAGTAATGAGCAGATTGCCATTGAAAAACATTTGGAGAAAATAATTCAGGATGAACTGATAATGACTGCATGTGTAATGACTGCATGTGCTCAGTGTGGGTTATTTGTTAACACAGAAGCTCCATGGCTAGGAGCAACCAGACTGCTTGTTATATAATCATGCAGAGCCAACATCATTTTGGATAGGTGAGGTGAAGTGCCCATTTTCAAAAATGCAGACTGACTTCTAAATGATGCAGGCATTTAAATTTGTTGTTCAGTCTGTACAATCAATAATTACACGGGTATTTGGGTCGGGTTTTTTGAAAGGCTGTGGCATAGTTCGTTATCTATAATACATAATCTTGTGATGCACAGATGGATAGGGCTCCTAACTTGTGATAGAAAAACTCTAACCATGAAGCCCATACATGGGAAACATGTGCTGTGAAATGCCAAACCGGTGAGCAATATGTCAACCCGCATAAGACCACAACGTAGGCGACATTGGTCTTTTTCGCCGCAGCATTTTTGATTCTGCCGAGTATTCTACATTGTTACTCGAACCAGCATAAGTTAAGAAATTACATGCTGCTTGCAGAAAGTCAAGGAAAACTTTAAATGTTGCATAATTTTGAAAACATGTATAGAATTTAAGATTTGTGTCACTGGCAAGTACATGTTCTATTCGCAATACACACTGTTCGTATTTAGATGGTAACTCATAATATTTTCTTTGTAAAGCTGCATGTTCAGTTTTTAGTCTTTCATTGCGGGTTGACTCTTGTGTATCAATGCTAGTCGTTTGTTGTTCAGACTGGGTTGTTCAGTCTCACTAGATGTCTATAGTAATATATCTTCCCTGCCTGCCATACTGTTTACAGTTTGTCTACATGATATTTAACGACAGTTGGCAATGCACTAAAAGATTTCTCACTCAGTGTAAGGAACACACTTGGCGACTTTTTTATAAAAGGTTCACTTTGTATTCTCAATAAATTCAACCATATTTCTCACAGGAAATTTATGGAAGGATAATTCCGAATTTTTAACACTGTCGCTTCGACAAACTGGCACACAACAGGTCGTTCCCCTGTACATTTTACCTTTAGGCACTTTTTCCTTGTCACTTGCCATATTTATTCAAACAAACAGCAAACCAAACGGCTCGAAACTTTCCAAAATATACTCGAAACAAGCGAGGTTGCTTTAAACTTGACTGGCGTAAATATGTTGTAGTTAAAAACTCCAATAAGACACTTGAACAGCAGTGAATAGTACTTAAAAGTACTTTTTAAATCTTTGAAAATCTTTGAAATGTGAAAGC